AAACGAGCACATATAGGCGATCGGCGTGCTATGGACCTGCTGATCGCCTATATGTGAAACACCCGGTACCGGGTGTTCGCATTGGACGGGTCTTTTCTGCCCTTGCGTGCCCGCTAGGGGGCGCGCGCGAGCAGAAAAAAATTGCCGTCTGGAGACGGCAACCCGCAGATGCTGCAGTGCCGTCCGTCCGTTTTTTTACTACGGGCGGACGGCAAGAGGTTAATAACCACTGCGGGTTTTATTTTGTACTATAATAAGGAGAAATTACTGAAGATTTTTTTTTACATTATGTTATAAAACAACTAATATTACCCACTTTTTTGGTAAAATATAAAAGACGGGGTCACGTCGGGTAAATAGACACCAAACATGTCAAGCTTAAAAATTGCGCGCACCCGCGAAATCGCAAAAAACTAGCATATCCCCAAAAACGACCATAGGCGACGCTTTAAACGCTTTTACAGCTCATCAGTTTAGTGTTACCAGTGATTGATGAGCCTAGAACGATTGCTCTCATTCCGACGTTCACGGCGATATGTAACATGTGCGGCTTTATGGGCGCAATCGTCGTTTTTGCTTGTATGCGCACCTGACGCATGTTTACATGCGTGTATGTAGGGGTGGGGACTATTCTTTTTTTATGTGTAACTTTTAAAAAATTGGGGGGGAAACTTTAAAAAAAAAAAACATTTTCACTTAACTTTATTGCTATCACCGAGGTGGCTGAAAAACCCCTCTATGTGATAGCAAAAGAGGTGACAGGTCCTCTTTATGGAGACATCAGGGATCTCCAAGACCCCTAATGTCACCTAGGACCCCCCTGAAGAAGCTGATGAAGCAGAGATCTGCTGGAGAGTGGCACTAGAATGCAGAAGTGATGTAATATACACCACTTCCGCATTCTGACAGCGGAGAGGGGACCGGAGGGAGGGCGTGAACCGACCTCCCTCTGATCCCCTGTGACAGAGGCAGTATGCTGGTCAAGGGTCTCACACCGGAG